AGTACCCCCTACCAGTCCAGGATTTAGGACTACAGTGTTATATTTTTCCTTTCTAAAAACATCTTAAACACAACTGAGTAATCCCTAAATCCTGGACTGTTAGGGGGTACTTTAGGACTGGGTTGGGAACCCCTGATCTATGAAAATCAGTAATGACACACCCACATTGCCTGTCCAAGAAGTACTCAGCCTAAGTTACACTACAAATACAGTGTATTCACATCACACACACAAACATTTCCTCAACACATTAGATGTCATATACTGTCATATGTTTATTATAAATAAATATAAAGAGACAGACAAACTCATAAATACCTATAGAGCTTTGTGTTATCTCTCTATCTATATATCCATGGCTGACAGGGACTGGCAGGAGAATGGTTAACACTGGGTAGTGAGGCGTTCCTGGTACTCTAGTGTTTTTGACCTTGGCTTCCCTTCTGACTATCCGATCTCTGACTATTCTGTATTCTCCATTCCTTGACTCGTGGCTTGTTCATTGTTTCCGTGATTTCTGCATCTTGTCTTTATCCTGTCTTGTGTTTTTTTTCCTTTATACGTTAAATCCGGCCATTCTAAGGCCCGGTAATACGTTTTAGGATTTTCCTTTATATCTACTTAAGTTCTGCGTGTTGGGCATCAGCTATTTCTGACAGGGACTAGCAAAAAAGACAGGAAAAAAAGAGATGAAGAACTGAATTCAGGGAGAAATGGTATGCCGCAGAGGGTGTGTTAGTCTCATTCTTATCCTAGGACCTGGGCAGGTGGCATATAACAATCAGGTTGCTAGAGGTTATGTGGCATACAAGATATGGCAGTATGCAGACGTTTGACGGAAACAGGAATTCTAGAGATAAAGCATAGGATAAGGGAGCTGAGGATCCAAAGAACGCTGGAGCAAAGTGAGGTTCAGGTTCAAGTTCAGATTAATGTCTGGGTACTAGTCCATGTGCAGACGCAACAGAGGCAGAATCCACATGGCAACAATGCACAATACCAGATACAATCATGTCAGTCCATTTAAGACAGGCACCTTGCAGCTTCCAGAGGCTGCTGTTGGCATCTTGCCAATGCTGCAGGCTACATGGAGTCTGAATAGTAAATGACATTATTATGCTTCTAGGCTGCAAGGGCACTATGTGGAACCTGCGTAAGAGTGAGTGTCACTGCTATCGCTTACACCTTTATATAGAGCAAGATATTATGGTCTACTGTGTAAATCACAACTGTGTACACAAGTATAAAACAAAACATAGAAAGAGTGACCCTTTGATCCATGTAAAAATGGTTTTCAAGTTACATGGTGTGTCCATTTTTGGTTGGTATCTTCTGTACTTTTGCTCACTTAGATATTGGAACAGAACTTATTTGGATTTTTTTGCTCTTTCAATAGAAAATCATTTAGTGTTGTCATGACAGGTACATTTTAAATATCAATAATAACATTTTATAGGATGAGGGGGGATTGAATTTGTATGGTTATGGTATGTAAGAGACCTTAGAAAGATTAGACGGGGGGGTTGTTGTGCTATTATTATAAAACAATCTCATGAAGACATGACAGTAGTTGGATAGACAAAAGGAATATTTAATTACTTGAATCATATTGCATCAGACCAGTCATGGATCTCATAGGATCATAGTCAAAACTTAAAAGGCTTCCTGAGTTTATCGCACCTGATAGAATGGAAAATTGTTTCCTTGATCTTATTTTGGAGTTTGCACCGTAAAAGCCTAAACAATATACAGAAAGGTATTGCGATAGTAAAATTGTTCTGTGATGTCATCATATAATTTACAAAGTTTTAGAGTTCTTAAGGTATATTTTATATGGTGCAAGACATCAGTAGACATCGGTATCTGTGGTACCCAACCTTGGTACTAAAAATAATTCTCAATTCATCATTTTTGTAGGCACAACGGAACTTGCAATTTTCTCTTGGTGAACTAGATTTATCCTTTAGATGTTCACACAGCTCCTTAATTATTTTGTGGTTTAATTTCATTGATACAGCTGGGTAAAGAAGAACTATATTCTTTTAAAGATATGTCTGATATTTGCTTTTAATGTAAACTCATAGGGAATCAGAGGTCTGTGCGTGTCTCCATGTATTCTCTCACAAAGTGCATTTCTTTCAAAGAAATTGTATGCTTCTCTTATTAAGGCACAGTTTCTGACAGCAATTTAATTAGAAGCTTCTTGTCATGCTCTTTGTCAAAATTGGAAAAACAAAAGAGGTGTTTCATAAGTAATTATCTCAGCAAAATACGGCAATTATATATTCAGGTGTGTATCAAAAAAACATAAAACATGCCAAAACTCAAATAACTCTTAGTTCTTTATTTTTGTAAAAAAAACAAAAACAATAAAATAATATGACACAAGAAATATCCTCGCAGAAGAACTGCCTGATGGACTCTTAAGGGATTAATTAAACTATATATACATGTTCATAGTTTGCCCTGCCTAAAATTGCCATGTCGCACAGTTAATACTTGCCCTGCAATAAAGAAGATATATAACTTGAAATTCTCATTTAAAAATGTATTTAACCCCTTAAGGACACATGACATTATTATTATTATGATATTTATAAAGCGCCATCAAATTCCGCAGCGCTTTACAGTGGGTGGACTAACAGACATGTAGTTGTAACCAGACAAGTTGGACACACAGGAACAGAGGGGTTGAGGGCCCTGCTCAATGAGCTTACATGCTAGAGGGAGTGGGGCAGGGCCGGATTAAGAGCACAGTGGGCCTGGTGCTGACAATTATGATGGGCCTAATTACGGAATCTTATCGACCAAAAACACTAAAACAGTCATACCTCCCAAGCATCATGTATCTGATGGAGATTGTGCTGGAGGGAAACTCATAGGATGCAGCTATAAGAAAACACATACTCTATGCTAATTTCTCTCTAATTTATGCTTTCATCTTTCAAGTAAATCCATAACCCCTAACAGCAGTGTTCAGTGAAGAATGAAGTCAATGGGCGAGGTAAAAGGGTGTGCCACTGGAGTGAATCACGTGACAAGACCTGCCAAAAGGGATGAACATGCCCAAAAAGGGGGCATGTTTGTCCAAAGAATTGGAAGGTCAGCCTGGCATGAATGCATGTCAGGCTGCCTGCCAATCCTGCAGGCTGTCCAACTAAGGGCATACAATGCAGGCAGCACCTTGAGCTTGACATAAATGCGTCTAATGATGCGCTCACTCCATTCTTTCTAAGGACTGTCCCCTAGCACTCGCTGGTCCACTTGTCTCCTTACCTTCTTAATAGCAGGCAGAACTTCCTGGTATAGTCTGAGACAGAGAAAAGGTGTCTGTAGTGAGTGTAGAAGAAAGGGGACATGCCACAGTGTTAGAGAGACCAACATCTGCATTACCTAAACTAACTTTAATGTCAGCCAGTGCACACAAGTTTTGTTCCCATACATCCCTCTTAAGCTTCCAAACTTAAAGGGACACTATAGTCACCAGAACAACTACAGCTTATTGTATTTGTTCTGGTAAGTAGAATCATTCCATTCAGGCTTTTTGCAGTAAACACTGTCTTTTCAGAGAAAATAACTCCACTGGCCGCTCCTTAGATGGCTGCTAGAGGTGCTTCCTGGGGCAGTACTGCCTAGTGTGCAGCACTGCCATTCAGTGTCTCCACCCTCTGCATGCAGACACTGAACTTTCCTCATAGAGATGCATGATTCAATTTATCTTTATGAGGAGATGCTGATTGGCCAGGGCTATGTTGGACTTGTGCTGGTTCTGCCCCTGATCTGCCTAGTTGACAGTCTCAGCCAATCCTATGGGGAAGTATTGTAATTTGCTCAGACCACCACTTCTGAGCCAGCAGCTGCAGAATTGAATACAAGTAATATTTTACTATATTTAGGGAGGCAAGAAGGGGCCAGGGTGGTGGTTTTAACATAATAGGGTAAGAAATACATGATTGTGTTCCTGACACTATAGTGCTCCTTTAAGCAAGAGTATGTGAAGAGTAGTTAAGGTTGCCACCTTTCTTGGAAAAAAATACCAGCCTTAATCATTTGCATAATTAATTAGTTATGCGTGTAAATCACAAGGAGTGACATCAGAGAAAATTCTGTAAAATCACCAACAAACTACTCACAGTTTGATTCTGCTGTATAGATGGATTGCTCCCAGTGTCTCACTGTCTCCCAGTGTCTCAGTCTCGCAAGTCACCCTGTGTCTCAGTGTCCCTATGTATCACAGTGTCAGTGTCCCCATCTCGCCCAGTCCCCTAGTCTCCCAGTGTCCCCTAGTCCTGCCCAGTCCCCTAGTCTCCCAGTGTCTCCCCATTTCTCCCAGTGTCCCAATGTCTCAGTGTGTCCCCATGTCACTAGGATACTGGGGACACTGAGAGACATGGGGACACTGAGAGACCCGGGGACACAGAGACATGGGGACACTGGGAGACATGGGGACACTGGGACATTTAGGGAAACTGGGAGAAATGGGGACACAGACACTAGGGACACAGACACTGGAAGACATGGGGACACTGAAACATTTGGGGACACTAAGACACTAGGGACACAGACATTGGGAGACTAGGGGACACTGGCTGGGAGACAGACACTTGGGGACACTGGGAGACATGGGGACAGTTGTAGACATAGACATGTGGACACTGGGAGACATGGGGACACCAGGCACACTGAGACACTAAGAACACAGACACTGGGATACATGGAGACACAAACATTTGGGGACACTAAGACACTAGGGACACAGACACTGGGAGACTAGGGGACACTGGGAGATTAGGGGATACTGGGAGACTAGGGGACACTGGCTGGGAGACAGACACTTGGGGAGACATGTGGACAGTTGTAGACATAGACATGGGGACAGTGGGACACATGGGGGCACTAGGAACACTGAGAGACATGGGACACAGACACTGGGAGACTTGGGGACACTGAGACCCTAGGGACACTGGCTGGGGGACATAGTGTCTCCGTGTCCCAATGTCTCCAAATGTCCCTATGTCTCACAGCGTCCCCATGTGTCTCAGCATCCCCATGTGTCCCCTAGTGTCTCAGTGTCCTCATGTTTTCCAGTGTCCCCAAGTGTCTGTGTCCCCATGTGTCCTAGTGTCTCAGTGTCCCCTAGTGTCTTTGTTCCCATGTGTCCCCTAGTGTCTGTGTCCCCATGTCTCCAAGTGTCTCAGTGTCCCCATGTTTTCCAGTGTCCCCAAGTGTCTCAGTGTTCCCAGGTCTCCCAGTGTCTGTGTCCTAGTGTCTCAGTGTCCCCTAGTGTATGTGTCATGTGTCCCCTAGTGTCTCAGTGTCCCCATATGTCCCCTAGTGTCTCAGTCTCCCCATATGTCCCCTAATGTCCCCTAGTGTCTCAGTGTCCCCATGTGTCCCTGCTGCCCTTCCCCCCATCCCTCACTTACCTGAGCTGTAGAGTTGCTGTATGGACTCTCTGTGCTGTGTAGTTGCTCCCCCACGGATCAGTGAGTAGTAGAGAGAGGCAGGGATATTCTGTAACTTCCTATCCCTGCCTTTCTCCACACACAGTGACCCCTACTGGCCGGTGCTGGTATTGCAGAGTAATTTCCATTTATTCTGATTAAATTACCTGCATTTGTATTGCCGGTATTACTGCAATACCGGCACAGCCAGCCTCAAATACCATCTGTGCCATTAAAATACCAGTCAGGTGGCAAACTTAAGAGTAGTGTGTAAAAAAAAAAAAAAAAATAATAATAATTTTTTTTTTTTAAATGGGCCTATTCCATGGGCCTGGGCCTGGAGCTGCAGCTCCATCAGCCCCTATGTTAATCCGGCCCTGGAGTGGGGTCATGCTAATCATGTGTGACATGTCATGATTCCCTTTTATTCCAGAATTTTGGTCCTTAAGGGGTTAAAAAAAGTATTCATACTGGAAAATTCAAGTCAAGTAATAATAATATCTATAATAAGCTGTAATGTTGAATTGATAATGCTGACATTGGTGTTCCTAAATAGTTTGGGTAGAGACTAGACATTTTTAATTAAGCTCAAATCACACGTGTTATGTTATTCTTCAAGTGCTCCCTTAGTCTAAGGTTGCGTTTAAAAATAAATAATTAAATAAAAATGACACTATTAGGTATTACTAGATCCAACCTTCTATTCTACACAAAACTGTCATTTACCAGGTTCAACATTTTGTTTCTTATGGCTAGTATCACAGGCAATTTAACAAGAACAAAGTTTTTAATCTAGAAGGGTTTGAAAATATATCATTGGTTTTTGAGTATTACCTAATTTATTGTATCATCGTAACGTGCCCAGGAATCAAGACTTTGAGATAACAAAACTCTACTTCCACCAAATGGACCAGCTACCAAAAAGTCAGCTTAAATGTGCAATCTTTTCACTTTTAGAAAACCTTGGTGAAGGTGAAATGCATCAGTGTTATTGATTACTATATTGCTTTGACTTTTATTTTTAAAGAGTAAATAAATCAGTTTATTTTACAGTATCTCTGGACCTACCCTGAATTTTATGTGAAGCTGCACTACCTATTTCTTTGATGGGTAACATACCACCTGAGCCATGTGGACTGAGCAAAACCTATATTTTGCAGTGAGCACCTCTACAATACTTTGATTTGTGTAGTATTTATAACTATATTTTTAATTCTTGTTTTTATCTACATATTACATTATGGGATTTTCTACCAGCAAACAAGATTCTTAAGGGAATTATACCACTTTATTCTGCTTTCTGTGAGCCATGTGGAGTGTATTTTCACATATTTTTTACTCTACCTCAATATCCTAACATATTATACTAGATTGGGGTTTCTCTTCTGTTTCATTTTCATACCGCAGGAGCACTTGCCATTGGATTAAAGATCCCTTACTATATCTTCAAGCTGGCATTGTACTGCCTAAGTGCATTAAGCAGAGTTAATTCTAGCTCTATACACATGGAAGTGCATTTTCTTTTTATCTCTACCCACTCAGAACACTGTTACTACACTATATTTTGTACTTTTTCTCTTTTATTTCATTACATATCTATCATCATCTGAGAAAGGCGCTACTCCATCCAGAACATAGTCCCATAAAAAGGTCCTAAAAACAATGCAGTTTTGATCACCTATTTTGTGAGGAGCTTTCTTTGCAAACATCATATCAATGATACATGGTATTTTAAAAAGGACTATTTCTGAAACAATATGTGCTTTTGAAGATTTTATGAGCTGATCCTATCCCCATCCCTTTCAAAAGAAGAAAATGTTAAGAATCTTTACCTGTAGACAAGTGTTCGAATAAACTGTTATTCCTCTGGTGGGCACCACAAAATTTTATCTAAAGTCTAGCCATCTATTAAATTTGCAAACATGATTCATAAAAGGTAAATAACTTATAACTTATATCTACATTGGTATTAAGTGGGCAACCCGTGTCTCTCATGCCTTGATTTTGTAGAAAAAGTGGCATAATAATGTTTTATGGAAATATCTCCATGTCATTCAATTCATAAACATCAATAAAGGTTTTACATTTTGTCACATTGTCTGACTGAAGGTGTATGTACATGACTCAAGGATCCTGTCATATACAAAAAAGAGGTATGAGTTTTTCTCGTATGTATATTTATATATGTTTTCCTTCAAAACTTGATGCAAGGATTATTATATTAAAAAATAGTTTTGTGGGCTGCGGCCAGACTGCCCTGCTGTGCAGGCATGTTTTTCTCTGGAGCTCTTCCATAATTGGCTGTGACATTCCATCAGCTGTTAAGAATTGTCTACTCACCTTTTTTCTTTCTATCCTGCCATCTGCGGCCTAGTTGCCCGTTCCGGATGAGGAGGCGGCCGATCTTCTGGCTAAAGCCATTATTTAAGTCCCCAAAACCCCCTGTCAAAGCAGTAAAAAGGTCATCTTGCCTACTTTTTCTCCCACTGCACGCCAGTCTCATTGCAGCTGACTCTTACTCTGATGAGCTCAACAAATCCAATGTTTTCCCATAACAAAGTATTAGGAAGCTATTGCACATGCATGACAAAATAAGGCAAAAATGTAATCAATGCATTTCTACGGGGAATGTTCAGCGTCTCCAGGTAGAGTATGGAGATGCTGGATGCCATGTTACTAGGCAGTAAACACTGTCTTGTGAGTGTAGTATCCCTGTAAGCTGTAGTGGTTCTGATGACTATGGTATCCCTTAAAATAGGCTGGTGATAAGAGATAAGTACCAGGAGCCTTGGCTAGTGTCCTCTTTGGTCCAGTCTTCCTTAATAGCAGACATACAGAAACAGTTTTAGTGGGTGTAAAACTCAGTGCTGTTCCAGGTCCTCCAGTATCTGTATCTGAGGCTGGACAGAAAGTGGAAGGGACAACATCCAATCTGCCCACTAGCAGCCTCCTTGCAAGAGGAGCAGGAAAAGCTCTCAGTGATACACACTCTATAGCCACTACTGCAGATTTGATATATGTCTGACTGGTCTACAGAAGACATAGGAGGTTGAGTACTTTGCAAATGACCCTTCAAATAAAGACAACTGAAAATAAACCCTTTAGTTTAATCTTATGTTTAAGTCATCTAAAAAAAAACTAAACACCCCTTTACCCTAACCACTTCTAACATCTTTGACCCTGCACGCATTTCCACAGTTGCATACACTCACTATACTCAAAGATTCGAACAAAATAGATTACAAGCAGAGCAGAAGATGCACATACATATATTTATACATATGCAGTTGTCATATACAAGTATATCTTTAGATGTATTTTAGGCCTGCCATGTCCAGTTAACAAAATCATTATATGTACTTTATCTGCCTTATTTTGGGATTGAGGAGCAGGGATTGCCTTAGAATTTTGTGACTACAGGCAGCGCTGTATTTAGTGCGAGGCTGACAAGGCATTGCATTGGGCGGCACTTTCAGGGGGGAAGCAAAAAAAGCTGCCCCCCAAACGCCCTGGCAGATGCCTTGTAAGCCTCTTGTCCTGGGGGGCACAGGAGCTGACTGGCTGGCCATCTTGGGCCCTCCCCAAGGCTGGCATCTGCTTGGGATGGAGGCGGGCGGCGAGGGAACACTCTCCCTTGAGCTCCCTCCTACTCAGCTCCCTCGCGCGCACCGCAGTGATGCCAGATCCAGAATATAACATCACTCCGGCCCCAGCATCACTATGAGGCATGGGAGGGAGCTGAGCAGGGAGATAAGAGCTCCCTCACGTGCCTGCATTGACCGCACCCCCAGCCGCTCAGCAGCCCCACTGGACCCTAGGGACTGCATGCGCAGCCACTCAGCAGCCCCACTGGACCCCATTACTTAACAGTTTAAATCCTTACACTGGTGCCAGAGTACTCCTGGAACCATAACCGTAGTGATTATGGTGCTTGGAGCGTTCCTTTAGATAAAAGTTTCAATCATGGAGCTCATAAAGGTACTCATGAGTAAAGACGTGGTATGAAACAGCAATGGAACAAATGGGACCAGACATTGCACTTGAATGTGGACAGAAACATTCAGGCACTACATTGGTCCCCAAAGTAGCAGAATGGATTGCATTTCATAGGTTAGTATCCAACAAATTAGAAAACTGGGAGAGTTACCACTATACAAAACAAGATAAGGTTGCGCCTAAAATATACAATAAAACATATAAAAATTGTATATAATAAATAGTATAAAATAGTAAAATTTAATATAAAATATAAATGAATTGTAAAATAAGTAGTTGGCAATAGTCCAAAACACTTATCATAAGTGCGTAATAGTAGATGCCACGTGTAAGAACAGGGATTCTGAGACGTAGAGTGGAGTGTGTCTTCACAGTAGTGTGCTTGAAATCCAGTAGAACATATGTGGAGAAAAGACAAAAAGGGAACTCCAATGGCACAGTATATAGATGAATAAAATAGTATGTAAAATAAGAATAATCTTACTCACACTTTTCATAGCTAAAACCTAGCTCTGATATAGTGCACGTGAAGTGGAATGATCCCCACTCAAGGATATGCGGAGTAATTTGATTGACGAGTATCTGGCTCAGATTTGGCGTCCGAGTTGGTGTTGTTCGATTGTAACGTGTCAATAAAGCTTTACAATTTCAAACACGAAAACATTCCGCCCAGCTGTAGTGCTCTACTACAGCTGGGCGGAATGTTTTCGTGTTTGAAATTGTAAAGCTTTATTGACACGTTACAGTCGAACAACACCAACTCGGACGCCGAATCTGAGCCAATTTCAAACACGAAAACATTCCGCCCGGCTGTAGTGCTCTACTACAGCT